TAGAAGGCTTAGAATGTATTCAAAACCACAATAATAGAGTCTTAGTTAGAATGTAGACTATCCTCTGACTTGGCACTAAGGCTGAATTAAATGAAGAATGGGGAATTGTAGGTGGTTCTTAACTCAAGGTGGGATGGAAGTGTCCAACTTGCCCTGACTCTGCTTCAAAATCCTCTGTGGAGTTCCATCTTTGATACAGCACAGTGAAAAGTGTTACCAAGTCAGCAGGAACACCAGAATAAATGGAGTCAGAAGAGTTATTATGGCCAAAAGACTGATTTCAAAATATGAATTGGAAATTTGAAATGAATTTAAAATTCAAAAATATGAATTTCAAAATATGAATAAAAAATGACCCCCAATTTACCATAAACTGCCAATAACGATTGAGAGATAGAAAGAGTGTCATGTGTTAGAGATCATTAAGATAAACACAAAGAATAAAAATGAAATATTAAAATATTGAAAGCAGAAAATTGATCTCAGGAGAACTCAGTGGCCATTAGATGTTATAGGAGAATATGGAAGTCATAAAGAAATTCAAAGAATTCTTTACATTTATATTCCAAGGATATATGAGGATATAGCCAGTTATAAAATACTGTAAATCTGCTACAATGCTACTTGGTACTTATTATTATTATTATTATTTAAATTTACATGCTGACCAACTCTCAACGAGCCTGGGTGGTTACAGACAAAAAACATTAAAAATAAGAAAGAACAACAGTAGAGAAAAAGGAAGAGTGAAGATGGAAAGGGTCACAAAAATATGGGTTTTGTATCTGGGGTTTTTATTTCTGTAAGCCGTCCAGAGTCAATGTGAGTAGGTTCGGTGGCCATATAAATTGCTTAAATAAAATAAATAAATAAATAAGTAAATAAGTAAGTAAAAAACAAACCCACATAAGCCAGGGGGAGGGGGCTCACTTACCCTTGCCAAAGGCCTGAGCAAACAACCTGGTCTTCAAAGCCCTTTGAAACATCAGCGGGATGTGAGCTCTGCGGACCTTGAGGCAAATCTCATTCCAGACAGTAGGCACTGCTATAGAGAAAATGCACTTCTGGGGTCCCAATAGATGGTGTTTTTAATCACAGGAACCCAGAATGAACCAACCCTGCCGGATTGAATCAGCTAGGGAGATACTATGGAAGAAATGTGGTTCCTCAAGTAGCTGAGCCCTATGCAATATAAGGCTTTATAAATAATTACCAGCACTTTATATCACACCCAGAAGCAAACTGGCAACCAGTGTAGCTAGGGAAGCAGAGGTGTTACGTGGCATGCCCATCACTGCCTGCACCACTGCATTCTGGACCAGCTAAAGCTTCTGGGTGGTCTTCAAGGGCAGTCCCACGGAGAGCACATTGCAGTAGTCAAGCCTGTAGTCTTTTCCCTCCTTGCAGGATGTTTCTCACTCCCCAACCCCACCCTAAGGTTTGCCTTTTTTTTCCCAAGCAACTGGGCTACAGCCTCCCATCATTTTTATTTTCTAAGAATGCATATTGGAATCATCTGGATCCTAGAGGAGTTCTTAGAAATAAAGATTATGCTTGTTGTGGTCCCATATTGGAATCCAATATGCATAAGGATGTTGGGTTAGAGCCAGTGTACACAGTCCCGTTTGTTTGTAGCACTCTTATCCTATTCAGCACAGGACATGAAGATAGATTAAGGTGGGGAGGGGGAAACTATAGTCCTCTGATGTTCAGTTAGCATGGCCAGTAAATATTGGGAATGGTAGTTCAGCAGCATCTGGCTGGCTAGTGGATCTTCACACCTCTTTTAAAAGACCAACCAGTCCTGACCTCTCAGTCTTGATTTCTCCATGTCTACCAACAATCATATGATTTGGTTGAGTTCCCAATTTTATGGTTGAGAAAACAGCCCATTCATTCTAGGCTAATACAAAGGCTGGTCAGTTCCACTCTGGAGCTAAGTGGGAAGCATAAAGATTCCACACCACGCTCCTTTATGCATGTGACTCTCTTTCCTTCCCTTTCTCCCCCAACTGATTCTTTCTATATATTAGGGTCAACCATTATTATGAACAGCATGTGTGCTACTTTTGCATACAAGCAGATGTGAACTGAAATGTTAAAACTGCAAGAACTGTTAAAAAATCAAACCCACCAAATCATGTGGTTTTTAAAAAAATTTTTACTAATTGCTTTTCAATTACCACACTTAGACTTTCTATCATGCTGGGAAGCACAAGATTTCAAATTTGCCCCAGCTGTTGACTTAGACCTTCCCATAAGAAATTTACTCTCTGGCTTTCTTTTACTGTTCTTCCTTTGTCCCAGATCAATATATAGTCAAAACAAACCTTCTACTCATTGCTATGGCTTTGTGAACATTTGTTTTTGTGTGTGACTAAACGCTACCAGTAAGGAAATTTTCCAGGTTCACAAAGTTTCTGCTTACTGAAATTTGATATAGGTTTCATATTTTAACTATTTCTTCCTAGTTTTTTTTTCCTTAATTGTTTCTTCCAGTTTTTCTTTTGTATTAATCATCCATATACCTACAATGCTTCCCTGCTCAGCCTTGAGATGTTTCATGGAACTTGTATAGACAAAGCATTCATAGATATAGACCAATGTTCTTTGTTAAAACAGCTAATTCCTGCTGATTCTCGTGGAACTGCATTGACATTTTGGACATTTCCTCTATTTCAGACACATAGAAGTAAGTGTTATTCATTTATATTTGGTTTCCCATTAGGTATATGCTCAGTTTTAAGTTGAGAGTAAAATATGGTACTGTACTGATCCAAAGCAAGGGGGAAAAAACTCCAAAAAACAAATATTAGCACTGAGTTTAATAACTAACTTATTGAAGTTTAATGAACAACTCCATTTTCTCAAGCTTCAACTTCCTCAGTTGTCTCTTGTTGGAGTCTTCCCCATTTATTTAAGATTGTCAGTAGCTTTGAAAGCAGAGGCCTCTCATCTGTTTTGGTTCTAAAAGATCATAATATGATAAAGTTTTGTAAAATAACATGTTTAATAATTAAAATATATATTTCTAATTTATATAATTGCATATGAACAAATGATTCAGAGTGCATATGAACTGAAGTACAGATAATCCCTGTGTTAAGAATGCCCAGTTTAAGGACAACCCAAGAACAAAGCCTACTGTAGCAAAATTCAAGTTAAATACATAATGATTCAAGTTAAATACACAACGGTTCATTACACAATACTACTTATACAGTATTATACAATAATACTGTTCTGACTTACACACAAATTCGACTTAAGGACAGACCTTGGAAGGGAACTCGTTCTTAAACTGGGGACTACATTCACAATAAAAATGCATATATAATTTTTGTTTGGTCACTGGGTGGGAAGAGTGATGTGGAAATATGTTAGGTTGCTCCTTCAAACAATTGCAGTATTTTATGTAACTGTTGTTACTTTTGATGTAATGTTATCATTTATTTTAATCTTATAAAGCCAACCAGAATCATTTTGGAGTTAGATGGCCTAGAAATCTGACCAACAAATAAATAAATATACATTTGAAGTAGCACAAAAAGCAAAAGGCAGATATGTTTTAGTTCCTATATTTGATCGAGAAGTATGGGTTCGACTGACTGGGGCTGAAGTGACAACCATGTTTCTATTGCTTTCGTCAATCTGCTTATGACACAGGAAATGACATTTAAATTGAATAAGGAACATCAATAATGTTGATTAAATGTGAGGTCCGGCACTAAAGTGACTCAGACTGGTGGCCCTAAGTCTGGCACAGGTTTCATGTCATCTGCAGAAAGTCGGCTATTAGAGCCAAAGATGTTCTAATTCAGGAGTCCTGGAGCAAATGTCATTACCTGGTGCTGTTTTAAGGGGGTTGTAATTAAGCAGTTTCCCCGGTTCCTGAGTTGTGGGGTTCTTCTTACCCGGGACCTCTGAATCTCCCCTGCGCAAGCCAAATCATCAGCATCTCAGTTCCTTCCCTCCAATGCTTCCTCCATGATGACTCTCACGCTGCTTTAAAAATACCCTTATAGATTCCAGAAAACAGAAGAATATTGGAAATAAACTCTCATACGACAGTCATCTTTTTGCAGCTGACAAAACTGCATACGCATTTATTAATCCCTGTGACCCTAGGGAGCATCTCTTCAGTCGTCTCTCTGCATACTTATGTTCAATGACCCGCTGCAACAGCTTGTGAGTTTCGAAATGTGTTTCTGTTGTTACTGTCGTCATTGTCTGAGAGTGTTTTATCTCAAAATGGAAGAAGCTGGACGTAACAGAACGGCCTCAGCTAAGTAGAACTATGAGTGGGAGGAAGGGAAAAAACTGATAATCCTAGTTTTTCGGGCCTGGATGAGAGCCAGCCAGTCTGTTTAATGCACGATCGTATTAGCCACAGCTTCCTTTTTTACCCAGCAGTTGTTAGTAACATGCCCTATCAGGAATGAGGTCTGTAATGCTCGGCGAGAAGTATTATCTTGTTTCTTCATGGCAGAGTTTCATAAAAAATTGCCAGTCTTCAGAGTGCAATGGGGGGGAGGGGGAGCAGGAGATTTATTTTCACTAGGAATATGAAGAGGAGAAAAGGCTAAACCTCCCCCCCCCCCGGCATTATGATCCTGATCCTGGATTTCTCCTATAGTTGCAAATGTTTTTTCCTCCTTTCTTTTAAGAAAGCCCATTGAATGCCTGGTATTTTGGCCTAGCTGCTTCCACACCCACGAGCAATAGCCTCAAGACAGCTAGCTGCACCTCCATGAAAGGCAGGAGCAGACAGCAAAACTGGCAGATTTCCAAGTGCAAGTATAGGCGTGCTTTGCCTGGATTTTAAAAATTAAAAAGACATCCTGAATATTCTTTTGAAAAAGCCAGGCGGGAATGCTGTTTTGCCATGGATACCGTGTCAAAAAGACAAACTCTCCTGATAAAGGGAGAGGGCTGGCACGCACAGGATCTTGTGGGAGCAGCCCAGGTCTGAGCGCGCAGAAAACTCAGTGCTGGATAGAGATTCAAGATCAGTTTACGTTCCCTGTTTGGGGGGGAAAGGGAGGTGGCTAATCGGAGAAGACGGCCTGAAGTTAGTCAGTTAGTTCATCCTGCCTCCCACGCGCTGTAAAGTTTGTGATAGAGAAAGTGTTTTCCTGAGGGGAGAGGTATAAGATAATTTCACAGGAAGGTCATCATCATGCTTTGAACCGGAAGCTCTGATGTTTACACTTGCCAGCCGATTCCTTGGAATCCCAAGGTTTCTGCAGAGCATAAAGCAACAACTTCAGAGCCGTGTGTCCAGATCACCCTCTCCCAGCTCTACTACTAACAACTCCGGTAATAAGATCCGATTACATTTCTCCCACTGTCTTTTCTCTCCCCGTCTCTGTCCCTGTCCCATCCCCTCCACCCCACCCCAGGCCCTGCCTTCTGGAGCTGAGGAAGAAACAAGCGCAGAACTCTTCTGGAATCGCCTGACCCTTTTTGGACGTTTTTCAGCACTGCAAGCAGTTTGGTGGTAAGAAAATGGCAGGGTTCTTTTCACGTTACTGTGTTTCTCTGGCTGGGTGAGCATTTTTGCCAGATGGATTTCAGATGTTGGATCTATGGAGGTTGTTTAAATCTGCTTTTGTGTACTGAGTGCAAAAGTTAAGATGGCAATGTATGCATTTGGCTGGAAGAATATCTCAGCAAGGGCAGTGAGTTGGACCTTCATGGAAACAAACTTGTAAAGCATCTAAATACAAAGAGTTGGCAATGTTAAACAGGCATATATCTCTATAGAGAGCTTGGGGGGAAAATAAATGGTTTCGTAGTTTAGATTTAGAGTATTTATTTTCTTGGCTGTACACATGCACAATTGTCTGCAGCACCATTTACAGAAATTACCTTGGGATTTCCTCTCATGTATGTTAATGCAGAATTCTAGCCCAAGTAAGGATATGATATCTTATGAACAGAAGAAGCTGTTGCAAAGCAATCTATGAGGAGAAGAGACTTATTCATGTATGTATATGTACATTTGAACCAATGCTGAACTGAAAAGACTTGAATGGGATCCAAGGAAGAGAGCAATAGTTATCTAACTACTATCAACCACTATTTTCTTAAAACAAGTCTTAGTATAGTTGGTGATATGTTTTGTATATAGTATTTGCACAAAAGAAAGCTAGTGATAAATGAAAATTTCTCAGTTAAGCTGGAGGGAAAAAAGTGGGCTTTAGGTTGCAATTCTTTTTTAGGTGTAAGTCCCATAGAGTTCAATGAAATGCACTTGAATAAACCAACAGATCCAGAACTTCACTATTAATATTCTTAGCAGTTATTTTGGTGCAGATTACTTATACAAATTAAGCTTTTTTTAAAAAAATAGTTTAGAATGGAAATATCCAGTAGGCCTGAGTGTTGCAGCAGAGGAGACATAGGCCACTAAAAATAAATGTGCATCTTATTCTGTCAATAAAGGGTAATGTTGCCATCCAGTTCCAAGGAAATAGAAAGTATCTTGAACGCTGATTAAGTTCAGTCATTGACCGAATGATAAAGAAGAAGTTAAGTTGGTGGAAAATGCAGCAGTTTAGCTGCTAACAAGTGCAGGGAAGAGGGAAGACATGATATCTATACTGAAAGATTGGTACTGATTATTTATCAGGCATATATTAAGGAGTTGGTCTTGACTGATAAAGCTCAAAGAGGCTTAGGGTTCTGTGAAACCCTCTCTCCCATTAAAAAACCTGTCCAGCTGATATGATCGGCAGGAGAAGCTCTCATGCTTCTGGGGTCAGAGGCTTGTCCTTCTAACATGCAAGAAAAAGTCTTCTCATTGCTTCTCGCTACAGAAGACTCTCCCTTGGGAGCTGTGTTTGCCCCTTCTCAGTATTTTGGAGTCCTGTACAGGTACATCTCTTTGCCAGAATTGGAATTGCTAGTTGATTTTATTACTTAACTTTATTGTTAATTTTAATTCATATTCTTAATTTTATTTTTATATATTGTTTTTGCCTTAAATTTGGTTAGCTGCCTTTAGTGCTTCACACCCAGAAGAGAAAATAATGATAGAAATCTAATAAATAAATGTAAACATTTCTTCCCACTAGCTGAAAGGTTGCTATCCCATTTAATCAGCCGTTGATTTTGAATGCCTTTGAAATAGCTTTGAATTTACTTATTTTCATAGAAATACAAAGTTGCTCTTCTGCCTAGCATCCTCCTCCTCATTATTATCTTCATCCCTCCGATTATTATCACTGGGAGAAAAAAAAACTAGGACAACTTGGGGATGTGCCTGGGAAGAAAGCTTAGTACTCTATACTTGTCATTACGCAAATGCTTTCATTACGTACTTCTGTCCTGATATCTGATGCAAGTATGTAAATCATGGCATTTGTATAATGATGTCACACCCACACATCAGACACATTGATGCCCACTAAGTCATTCCTGGGTAAGTTTTACATCTATGGCATGTGAAAGTTGCTTTTGCAAACAAGCTTGGAACATAGTGTGCAATATCCTTTTGGTAGCAGATTTTCTTTATTTGATTAAAAAAAAGAGTTCCTTTAGTTCAAAGAGTTATTCTCAGTAGTTATATTTTTTAAAGGTAGGGCTAGGAAATGCTAATCTTTGAAGCCCTAAAGATATCATGTGGGCAATATGAGCTATGCAGTTTCCGGTGACATTTCTACACAGAATAAAAAGTATACATGGAATTATAATATGATCCATTCAAATCTAAAGCTAATTCCAGCTCCAGGTTTTCTCCACCTCATTCTAGAGTTGGATTTAAAACTGCCAGCAAAGCTCCCTCTTATAATTGCCTGTGGTATCTTGTCAAAACCCTTCTGAGCATCACACCATCTTTATGCAATTTTCCTAACTTCTTCAGAGACACCACACTTGCTTAAAACTATATCTCTAGAGAAAAATGGAATACTTGCACAAATATTGCTTTTCAGAATCCAAATATTAGTCCTGTAGCAAAATGAAACCTTCCTAAAGGATGCTGCAATTTTTAAAGTCACTCTAACATTTAACCAGCAGTAATGCATGATATATTACTAACCAAATCACATTTTAAATCAAAGGCTGGTTTCTCATTGTTTTATTTTCTGCAGACTATTTCCTACTGGAAAATGAAGTGATGATTTGTCTGTGTGACTGGGTCATCATGGCTAAGCCTTGTCATCTCACAAAATAAAAATTGTTTCATGTTAGTCCAGTTAGAAACTTCTTCATGTGGCGTTATACATTATCTGTGTCATTATTCAATGCTCAGCTACGGAGAAACTGAGTGTCATAGGCCTCCGTATGAACTATAGTTTGGTTTGCTAATGATAGATACTGGATTCAGAATGAAAAGCCTCAACACCTCTGCTCTGATAGTTGCTGTCGTAACGGTACATTATTACTTGTCCAATTTGACAGAGAGAGTCCTGATTAAAATCTGTCAGAAGCCAGCCCTTTATGTGGCCACTTGTTTGAAGGACTGTCCTGTCCTTATCTGTCTTTATAAAGAACCATGGGGAGGAAGAGAATTGTCCTTGAAGTGGGTCATCTTATGTCTTGACCGCATTATACTGACATATCCACACTTACCATTTAAGTTGCTCCTGTCTACTGCTCAGGTCAGCTTTATTGGAAGGCAGCTTAAGGAAATCCTGCCCTGATTAAGATACTTTTAGATGTGTATGTACATCTGTCTGTGTACATCTATCCACAAAGTTGAATTGAATTTTTGGATAGAGTTAAAACACCAAAATGCACATACATCCAAGCACAACAAAGCAGCTTCTTTTTAAAATCATGACTTACAGCCCCTCTTGTTTCTTTTAACTCACACTTACATGAGTGCTCTAATAGTACAATTATAACTTTTGCCTCTTAAATAAAAGGTTGCTGGTTCAGAACCCAGCAGAAACATTTTTAAAAGCATAATGCATTTTAATATTTTCCTACTTTTCTCTGTGCATTTCTGTTTTTAAGAAACTTCAGTGGTATACCATTTCATCATCTTTCCAGGTACCTGAAGTAGAAGGATCCCCTGTAGGTTTTCTTTAAACAGCAACAACAAAGAAACCTATTTGCAAGGCAGGAATTATACCTATTGTGCTATTACAACAGTCATGGTAAAAGAGAGGGGATCTAGAGGATATTAGAGCTCATGGTAAGCACTGACTTAGTTGAAGGGTTGTTCCTTCCTCTACAACACTGTTTCTCAACCTCAGCAACTTTAAGATGTGTGGACTTCAACTCCCCAAATACCACACATCTTAAAGTTGCTAAAATTGAGAAATACTGTTCTACAGAATACCCAGTGAATTGCTTGGGTTAGCAATTCAGACTGAAGCACATTATCCCAAATGGACAGCAGCTTTGAGGTGACATAACATGGAATAGGGTTCTTCAGAAATAGAAACAGAAGAATGCACCCTGAGGTTGCTTTGACATTAAATGGAGAATTAAGAGAGTATGAGGTCAATTTCTGCCCTCCAGAAACAGTTGCTGATCCATTGTGGTGAGGGGGCAACCAGGCAGTGCAGCTAAACCCCAGGTCTTTTGATTACTGTCCTTCTCACTGTGATGAAATACATGGTCTATTTGATTTAAATTTTAATAATTGTTTCTAAATTTGCTTCATATATGCCTGTTACATGCAAACTCATGTCCTCTTTTGTCCCCTTGTTAAATTATATTGTTGAGCAATATGTAAGGAGCATAGAGAGGAACAAAACAATCAAAATATAATTATGTATATGGACCTCCCAAAAAATTGAATGAGGGCTGCATTAACTTTACAAAATTAAAGTAAAAGATAGTAAATTATTAGAAATGAACTTTATGTACAGATGTACAGATCTCCCCCAAATTATTATTATTTCAAGAGGGTATTATCACAGCAATCTACTTGCTGTGAAGTAACACTTGTTCATATTACTAGTTTAGATAGCTAAACATCCAGTTTGAATAATAATTGGGTTGGTCAAAACATGAATTTAAGGTGAAAGAAACATTTTCAAGGCTTTTGTAATTTAATCATTCTTATCTAAGAATGTTGAACTAAGTTGAATTATGTTTCCAGGCAGTAAAACCCTAGAGTTTGTAAAACCCCTAGTACTCCTGTTGACCTTTGTTTCCAAATGGATAAAAAATGAAACGAATGTCAGTTAAAGGTTCTTCGTCAATGGGCTTAATTGGAAGCCTTTGTTTTTAGAACTCTGGATCTGTATGATGCTCTCAAAAGAGATCAGCCGGCATTTACAGCTGCAATGCCATACTCATTTATTTGAAAGTCAGTAATACCATTGAATTTAATGGATCCTCCTTTTTAATAGACATGTACAGGGTATGGTTGGTAGTGTGTGAAGTGAATTCCTGACAGCTTGTGCTGTGTGCTCCTGCCTTCCTAGGCATGGGTGTTTGGGGTATATCAAGTTAAGTATATCTAGTTCAATATTACTCTTAATTGGTTGTCAGCAGTTTTCTAACATTTTGTGCAAGACCTTTTCCATCTCTATCTGGAGGTGAAGATTAAAGCTTGGATCTTCTGCATGCAAAGCATCCAACTCTGCCATTGAACTTCCACTGAGTTCATCAGAAGCTTTGGCTGCTGAACATCAGGGTGTGAGCAAATCTACACACTGATTGTATTTAAATGCTGGTCAGAGGCTATGACAAATGCTCATGGGAACAGGGCCGGTGGGAAACAATCCCAATTTATATTCCAAAATTGCATTCAGTTAGGTTACGTGTATGGTCCGCATTGGACTTATCTCTTGTGAGTAATAAAAACAACTGTATTAAAATACAGGGGACTTTTGTAAGACCACAGAAACATTTTTCTAATGATAAAAGATTACCACTAAAGTTATGATCTTTTTTCTTATTTGACAGCTATCCATGCAGACCTTTAAAAATCTTTAACTTAAATTGCATCCTTAATGTCTTCAGACTTTTATCTCTTTTCTGTTTTTCATTCTATCCTTCCTGTTGTTTCATAGCCACAAAAGTGACTCATTCAAAGTGACAGCACAGGAAATTGAACAGAAAAACATAAGGCATTTGTAGCTCAAAATCAACATAGGAACTTTGTTTTCCATTCTATCAAACAGAAACACACAGAGATGAAATACCTAAGGATGTAACTATACAAACAAGTAAACAAAAATATTTTAGAGCTTATTCATTATGGAAAACAGGATCTGGACTAAGTTGAAAACAATAAGAGAATGCTAAAGGTTTGAGAAAGCAAAATAACAAAGGAGAATTGTATCGCTAAGGCAGACACTTAAATGTTCGTGCATTCCTATGTTGAAAGTATCTGTAAATTTATCTATAACTCACTATCTATTTCACTTTTTTGGTGCTTCAACACAGAAATGCAATAAGCAGAATGTCCTTACCTGGTTCATTTGAAAGGAGTTGGGTGACAGTGTGTTTGCCTTGATAAGGTTTCCAAATGCCTGTAGCCAAATACACATATTAACTCCCTTCAAATTTTAGCACAACATGCCAACAATCTAAAGGGGAGCCAGGCATGTATAGTCTGATAAGCCAGAACTAGATTAACATCTGGGTGATCTAGGTATTTATCTGTACTTTGAGTAAAAAACAAAACAAAACACTGTAGCAAACTTGTGTTGTTTTATCTGAACAGCTTCTGTATGGCTCTCCCTGTTTTGTAATTCAAGCTCATACAACGTTGGTCCCTGGCAGCTGTTTTCTAAAGGGAACATGGATAAAAATATGCTGAAATTCTACTACAAAGAATGTGGAAGTCCACTGCACTAAATGCAGAAGGTGTTCAGGATTAAGGTCTAAGACTGTGGCCCACTTACTAAATATTTCTAAAGAGGGCGTGCAGGTAATTATTTCCCCAACTGGTTTTTAAATTGGCTCAAAACATACAATTCACAATACAGCTTGATGACTTGATATTCTTTATCCTGATTCTATCCTTTGACAATATTCAAGCAACGTTAGACAATTTGAAATTTGAGGGTTTAAGAAAGGAAAGAACCACACAATAAGTTAGTTTGGGTATAGCTTGGTTTTATGTGAGCAAAGTCATGGTCATAGTCTCCCACCTGACTTTTCTTCCTCCCAATGCATCTTCCTTACTCCTAATCTTGTAGCAAATCTTTATGCTGAAACTGGGTGGACAGTGGATTGCATAAATCATTGTTTGTCTTGAAATAAGATTTATGATCCACCACAAAGCCAACAAGCTGTTTTCATTTCTGAGTATAAAATAGGAGAAGTGAGAGGGAGCATATCAGTCAGAGGCTTACTTACATAATGGCAGTCTCAACAGGCCTGTAGGACAGAGATGGGATGACAGAAAATGGGGCCAGGTAACGATAAAACTTCTCAAATCTATTCTGGATTTTGAATGATTGCAAGATCTGCAGAACACACTGATCTCAATTCAGCTGGAGGTCTGGACGCACAAGTCCTGCGGGCCTTGAGTGGCCCCTTTGTCAGTTTTTCAGCATTTACCAGGCTGTACAGTTTGTGCAGAACAGGAAAAACTAACAGAGCAAAACTGGCTTCCAATTTTGTTTCTATAAAGCAAACAAAATGAAAAACAAATTTGAAAGAGACACATGTTTTAAAGGTACTCAGTGAAGAGATGTTAGCACAAGTTTTATTTTTAACAGTGGATTACATAAAACAAGGAAGAAGGGAGCCACAAAGAGTAATTAATTAATCTTTGGAATTTTCACTCCCTGTGTCTGCATCTCCCAGATGGAGCAATAGATCAAGTATTTGAGATTGGGAAACTAATGGAAGATTAAAAACAAAACTTTGGCACTAATATGTACACTGAAACAGATAATTGTAAATACTAATTTTCAGGAATTTCTTCCCTCCCATTTCCTTCTGCTCTTTTTCCCATAACAAGAGTGCATTTTAAAGCATTGCATTTGTTATTCAACTTTCTCATGAAGAATGATTTTTCTTTTTTAAGAAAGAAGCAAGCTCTCCATGAAATGTAGCTTCAGGTTGGAACTACTCCAACGATTAATATTGCATAAACTTCACATTCTTTGCTGCCTACTAATGCCTTATCATCATTTACTACTGGCTTCTGTAATACAAGGCTAATGATGATCTCTACAATCCTTCTACTTTATAATCCCGAATCTCTCAGGGAATCTCTTGCAATACAGATTTAAGGTACGATTTAATATCAAACTGCTATTAATAACATTACATTAATAACTGGCTTGAACCACTTCTGCTCCAAATTAAATGCTTAGGAATGTTTGTTTCCAGAGCATTTCTTCTTCAATTTGTACTGACTCATTGAAAGCTTGAAACCACATCAAAGATTTCTATCAAATGGGAAAGGATTTTACATTACAGTACTTCTGGCTTGTGTGGTCTAGACATTTGATCAAAACATTAACTCTGTGACTAGACGATTTTCAGGAAACAATGAGCAGATTTAAGCTGATAAAACTTTTGGAAAAAAAATAGCAATGTTTTCATGAAAGTCAATAGTATGATTTCACTGGGGGCAGCCCTGCCGTTGATGGTGATTCCCTTTCTCCTCTGGAGTGGTTCCTCCTTGTGCTCTGGAGGATTCAAACCCATGGAACAGATTTTGAAGGCATACATGGAAGAAGAAAGCAGGAATAAATGTATCTTTTTGTGTGATTTCTCATCTATCTATCTATCTATTTATCTATCTATCTATCTATCTATCTATCTATCTATCTATCTCACATTTATATAGCTACCCATTTCACACAAAGCAACTTCTGCGCTTTGTCAAGAAGGATTGCATCTGATGCATCATACAGTCTACAGATTTGCAGATGGCGCATCTCAGATAACCTTTTAAAATCATCCATGTTCTGCAGTTGAACAGTGCAGAGTTCTGTAAATTATGGAGAAAACCCATTCAAACAATACCATCGTTTGATCAAAGTTCGGCAACAATAAGTGTTATTGAACATCAGGATAATACGTTATTGAACATAACAACATACTAGTATTAAAGCTCCAAAGATACAAATGCCTTAGTTTTGTTCTATCAAATTTGCAAAAATATGCAAATAAAAAAGGGATACTCTCAAACTAATAACCAATATTGTAGGAATCCTTGGAGAGAAAAAAAAGCTTCCTTTCTTGCCTCCCAAATGGGACTCAATTCTTTCTACTAGAGAATGTACTCATATAGCATATGAATATCTCAAAAGCATTTTGTGTTGATTCTAATACTTCTCCAGTATTAAAGAGATTGCTTCAGTTTTTGTTTAAGCATACAGGAGATAGATACATGGTCTCTCCATAATTTAAACATAATCAATTCTTGTGTCTTGAAGTTTGGCCAAGATTACAGATGCAGTTTTTATGAGGACAAATGGAACACTAGGAAAGTAATCCTGGTTAAAGATAAGGATTCTCAAGTTTTTTGTCCTGTTGCTGAAAAAAAAAGAGAGAAAAGGAGCAGAGACTTGCCTTCACATACTTTTGTGGAACAGATCGTATGTAGTTTCTGAAGTAGTAACACATATGAAAGTGTGTCAGATCCCCAGGCAACATGTATTTTAAATCAGAGACTTTCACAGACCTCTAGAGATTCCTTATGTGAGATGCTTATTTGATCATGGGGTGGGAGTAATTCTGTGGTAGTGAGTTTCTCCAGTCAATAGCCTGGCTGCTGCATTCTGGACCAGTTGGAGCTCCTGAGTCACTTTCAAAAGCAACCGCATAAAGCATATTGCAGTAGTGATCAGGGCATGAATTCCTATCACAACACCTTCCAGATCCAGGCCCCTCTTGACTCCAGCCCATGGGTATGATAGTCTTAAGTTGCCCCTGATTGATTGACTGATTGGTTATATGCCACCAAGTCAGTGTTGGCTCTTAGCAACCGCATAGATAGACCTTCTCCAGGATTATCTTTCCTAAATCTGGCCCTTCCGGTCTTCCTGAATGGAAGCAATGATGCACTCATCACCGCTGTAATTGCTAAGTAAATGTAATCACCTTGCTGCTGGTCATCCTCTTCTTCTCTTTCCTTCCACCTTTCCCAGCATTATGAACTTCTCCAGGTAGCTAGGTTTTTGGATAATGTGTCCGTAGTAGGATAATTTGTGCCTTGAGTGAGAATTCTGAACTGACTTGTTTGTTGAGCCATTTGTTTGTTTTCTTGGTTATCTATGGTATTCTAAGGAGTCTTCTCCAACACCAAAGTCTAAACGCCTCAATATTCTTTCTATTCTGCTTCTTCAAAGTCCAACTTTCTTTTAGACTGTGTCACAAGGAAAAACATTGCCTGCACAATTCTGATCTTTGCAGGTTTAGATGCATCCCTGCATCTGAATATCTTTTCCCAGGCCTTAGTTGCTACTCTACCAAGTGCTAGTCTGTGCTATATTTCATGGCTGTTGGTTCCTTTATAGTTGATAGTTTATCCTAAAAAGCAGAAGCTGTCAATATCTTCGTTGCCAACAATAAGACTGGTCGCTGTAACTATTGTCATTAATTTGGTCATCTTTACATTTAATCTTAATCTCATCTTTCCTTAAATTGGGCTACTTATACAGCCCTTAACTGTTGTTAAATAAGTGTGTCCCCCCCCCCCCCCCCCCCCCCTTTCAGGCACCATCCAAGGACAGTGTATTAAACCGATAGGCCATGTTATACGGGAAGGTAATTGACTGCAGTGACTTGAAACAGAGGTACCATAGGCATGATAGGAATCAGTAGTGGGTACAGCAAATTTCATGAGAGTATAATGTTTTGCCAACTCCAGGATGAGTGGAGAGCACTCAGCAGAGGGAAAGGGCCCACAGAGAAGAGGACAAAGATTTCTCTCAAATGCTGCAAATACAGAGTGGACCTTTACATGATCACACTAATGGGAAAAATCATAATAATTTGTCTCCAAAATAACAAATAAGTTCAATTAATAACTAATTACAAAATGCATAATTCATCATGAATTAGCAACAATCCATCAGGCCAAATATAATGAGGAAAAATTATCTTTCACAGTCATGAGCCAGATTAGGAAAGGTAAGACAGCCCAGCATTAATAGAGAAATTGATGTTAATTCAACCCATTTAATTTGTCATGATTTACCTTATTTGATTAAACGTGAACACTCATTTCTATAGGTCCGGTATTCTTCAGTATAACCAAGGGCAAGCTTTTCAACTTGCCCTCAAGATGAACAATGTTTTTGAGTGAAAAAGACAGGCTTCAACAACTCTTGGGTTCAAGCATCTGCATTAATACAGGCATCAGAATATAGTCTTTGCATCCAGGCCCTTTTTTCTCTTCCCTTGGTGGATGATGGTGTGAACTGAACTGCAACACCCACAAAACCTTTCTTCCTTGGCAGTGGAGGGAAGGAAGCTTCAAAGCTCTTTCTTCTTTGCCTTCTGCATTGAAGTTTATTTTCTTTTGCTTGTTTAGGAAAGATGAGCGGAAGGAGGATTGACATGTTTATAGCTGCCACCTTGTATCTTCTCTCCAGACTTATCCCTTGTGATGGGACTGCAGCTTCAGAGGATGAGAAATATGGAGAGGTTATAGGTAAGAGCTCTTTTATTCATTCTCACAAAGCTACAGTACAGAGAAATAAAACATCCCAGTTTAACAGGGCATATTTTACGCAATCCCTAATTCTTGTATGTACTTTCAAGATGAACCTTTCCAGCCACTATCAAATTCCACTGGTTTTCATCCATGAGCCTGTTCTGTCTTAATCTGCAATTAGTCTACAATTTCATCAATTTAAATGCATGGTTTTGAATGTACTTTTCACAAAATACCCTTATAGAAACAAACCTGATTTCAAAGCATATTTTATCTAAAATAAAAGGGTAAATTCATTATGGCATGTTATTTAAAGTATAAAATTCAAAGATAATATAAAAAACAAAGGAAAAGTTAATCCAACGCTCAAACAAAAAAGAGTTCCCATCTTTGGCATTAAAATGTAATCCCAGCAATTATTTCAATATTTGGAGTTGCCCACACAGTCCCTTTTACCGTCAACTGACTTTGACCAAAAATAAAAGAAAGAATATTACACTTGCTGTGAAAAGAAAATAGCTGGTATGTATATACCCCTGGGCCCCAGAGAGTATCTGAAAAAGGTGTTATCTATGACTTTGCTAAATATACAAGGCAAATATGACAAAGATAGAGGACTACTACTTAATTGCTCTGACAATAAACTATATAAGCCCCAATACTATATATGGAATAAAAGCTTTAAAAAATTCCTAGGAATACACAGAACTGGGTTGTAAGGAGAATCCTGATCTATTAATTACGTCCAATAACCTTTCCCCTGCAAGACGCATTTCCCAAAGGGAATGAGTCACAGCCGTTGAAATCACCTCTTCCTTGTAAACGGTGAAAGTCCATGAAGTATTAGCATCATCGCTTGAAGATTCAGCTTGTCTAGCAGGAAAAGCTTTTAGTAGGCATGGGTGGTGGGTGGGTGGCAAGTTGTCAAATCAAGCTGATGATGGGGACAAAGAAGAGACTAATTTTCTTTCAACGTGACAAGCTGTTTTGCCTTGATAATGCTCATCAACAAGAAGAGTTTGAACAGAGCCTCGTGATGAACTATATAAATAGAATATATAGACATGAACCATTTCACTTGGGAGACAACAGAACAATCATCCATAGGAAAGAGTACTGAGTATTTTTCCTCGTCAGGTCAGCTTATCATAAATAGGTGATCATTTTGTTTTAATTGTGGAATTAAAGAGTTGTCATATCCTGCAAAGAGATTTGATTTGGGTGAGTGAAAAACTGCACTTAGCAACAATGGCATGCATGTGGCTCATTTTAGTAGGAGTAAGCAAGCAGAAATAAGGAGAGTCAATTTGGTGTAGTGGTTCAAGACACTGGGCTGGACGCTGAGACACCGTGAGTTCCAGTCTTACCTTAGGCCCAAAGCCAGCTGGGTGACTTTCGATCAGTCCTTGTCTCTCAGTCCAAGGAAAAAACAATAACAAACCACTTTCAAAACAAGTTGCCAGCAGTCAAGACTGATTTGAAGGCACAGACACAGTAGAAGAGTACAACTTTTAGTGATAAAAAAATTCCTTTAATTCACATTTCAGTGCAAAATTACAAACCTCTTATATGAACCATCATTTTTTGAAATATACACTTCTCCATATTTTATATATCTTATTTATTTCATTTTTGCACACTTTTAAAAAAATCTCAGACCAGTATAAAAAGGAGATAAACATGATGAGAAAAATGAGGAGCAAAAACTGAGTGATCCATCCCCTTCTAAAAGCTGATTAAAATCTTCTATGATAAATACCCCAATATTTATTTTATATTATATTATATTATATTATATTATATTACATTACATTACATTACATTACATTACATTATATTATATTATATCATTACATTACATTATATTATATTATATCATTACATTACATTATATTATATTATATCATTACATTACATTATATTATATTATATCATTACATTACATTATATTATATTATATCATTACATTACATTATATTATATTATATCATTACATTACATTATATTATATTATATCATTACATTACATTATATTATATTATATCATTACATTACATTATATTATATTATATCATTACATTACATTATATTATATTATATCATTACATTACATTATATTATATTATATTATATTATATTATATTATATCATTACATTACATTACATTACATTACGATGCTATACTATACTAATTATATTTATTATATTATTAGCTATTTTCTGTATCATTATGTTTTGCTATGGTTGCAATGATTCATGCTGTTAAATAAATAAATTTGACTTGGCTTAGCTTAAGTTTTACCAGAACTTGATCTAGCTTTAAGGGACAATTAATAAATGATCCAAATTACTTTTCTCATTGAACTACACATCCCTTGGACAATTTTAAACATCTGGGCAGACCTGCAGCTTAAGAACATGGGAATATTAAAAATAAACAAACTTTAAATATAAAATAGTTTACATTTAGTTTAAATTAAATCACATTTAATTTTATGCCTTGCTAGTTCCCAGTTCTTTGTTCTTGCTATACCTATATATTGGAGTCTGATCCTTGCCATACCACTTAAAACCAAAAATACTTATTCAGAGAACTGAATCAGGTTTTAATGCACCGGGTGGGAAACTGGAACCAAAAAGCTTTTCAGTTTCTCAGAAAAATATTGAATGAAATTTTCCTTCCCCCCACCTCCCCAAACTGTGGGAAATGATATGAGTTTATTGTTTAGATCCAGATTACAGCTGTCATTCTGTTCCTACTGGGCAAGTTACGGCATTGATTTCAACAGCAGGAACATTCAACAGGGATAGGCTGTATTCTGGATTTCTTGGAATCAGTGTTGTTCTGAGTGTGGCTTCCACAACTGCTCCTCCACTAGAACTCTTGGCATGCCCCTGTTCCATTCTGGAAAGTAATTCTGGAAGAATGGGAGCAAGGGAAGAGGCAAATGGGCAAAAGTCTCCTCTGTCTTTCACCAGTTGAATCCTCTCTTGGATTTCAGCCCATCCATGAGTAGCAGGGACCTTTCTGTTTATGGGCACCAAGTTAGTATCCAAGGCACTGGGTATAAATAAACAAACCCATATGAATATATAAATATGCCTATTTGTTTCCATTGCCTTGTTTTGCTTTTTGTTTGTGTGTTGCTCTTTTGTTCACCTTTGCAACCCCTTTTCTCTTTCTATTAGTCATAAGGGGGCACTAAGAGAAATGCAAATGGGAATTGAAACAGGTATAGTGTAACGTGTAATCACAGGTCTAAGTACCATCCATTTTGGCAGCTCCACCTTTCAAGATCAGGTTGTTTTTTTCTTTTTTTTAAGAAATTCTAGGCAGTAATGACAACAGCTACTTTTTGGTGGGATGGGGAGGTTGACCTACCAATTTTAGTTCCAGTTAGCCAATGTTCTTTCTGGCCACTTTGTTCCCAGGGCATTATTTTTTTAGATTGTCTGCGTTTGTCCATCTCCCCCGTAATTTTTTCGGTCTTTCACTTTCTTCCTGCCACATTCACTGCAAACCTTTTGTTCTGCAATCCTGTGGTTGCTGATGAGACCTCCCAAGCAGCACAGGATATGTTACGTATTCTTCTCCAAGGACTGCAAGAGAAGTCTGACCTTATTACTGCCTCCCAGCTGCTGTGGAAACCTCCTTGGGAGAGGTGTGCATGTACATATTGTCCTCTTGTTGAAATGGATGCAGTTGGGTGAGTGATGGAGAACTGTCACGGATAGAGGGAAAAGTTCAAACATGCTGTTCCTCCCTCACTTCTATCCTGCTGGTATAAACCCAGCAGGGTATGAGAGACAGTGGTTTGTCTCCTCTGGAATTTCTGCAACTCAGCAAGTACATTTGCTCGACTAGAAAGAAAAAGTCCAAGTCTGGTACATTTTTATTACCAAGGAAAAGTTGACCTCTTGCATCTCCCATATGTTTAGAAGCCTTTGATTCCAAAAGGAAAAGCTGAGGATTAGCTCTAATGCTTGAAATTGAAACCAAGACAGCTGCACTTCATGCAGTGTATAAATAATGATCAAGACAATGGAAAAACAAGGCTATTTATTTATTTATTTATTTATTGTCATTTCCATGGCGACTAGTAGAAGGTATACTATTTGTGCCTTGGGGCAACAACAAACTTGTAGTTTTGGATGATGAATAGTTTTGGATGATGAATTGGGACAACTTCCATTGAATGGTAAAATTAATCTCAAATGTTTTGATGTATTTTTTCCACTATATTGCCTAAGTGTGCCATAGAGGTACACTTCTGAATTCTTTAACAAAAAATACACCAGGAAATTAAAGAAAAATTCTATTTCATACTCACAGTTTTTACTACCTAAAGATACAGTAGTTGGGGGTGGTGACACAAAGCAGAAGGAAAATAAGATGCCCAGGTATGCCAAGAACCAAATAAAAGAACAAATCCTTGGATGAAAAGACTATTAATTCTCTTCCTTCTGTGTAAACTGTTACGTTAGTAAAAGCTAACAGAAGCTTCCGATGCCACAGTTTAATGGGGAATGTGTTAAACTATTAAAAACACTAAATGTGGGAAATGCAATATATTCCTAAAAGGCCCACAAAAACTCTTGAGAATATACGAATTTCTTTTTAATTATAGTTCATCAGGTTGGGTTTTCTGCTGAACTGGGAATAGCCTTTTGATGCACAGAGAAGAGTTTTCCATTAGAGAAAAGTACCTCTGGATTCCACTTAGAGAGATTAAGAAAAATGAGGCATGTTTTGCAGTAATAATGATGTAAAATCATTGACTTTGCCAGACTGACAGGGCTGGTTCCCACACCTCAGATGTATGGGAACCCATCCAATCTGTCTTGTACGAGGACATTGCCATGTCAGTCAAGCTCACCATGAGCATAATAACTGCCATGTGGGACAAATCCAAGTTAACTGTGGTAAACCACAAAAAGTTGATTCACAAATCTGGCCCAATATGCAAAACAGATGCAACACACACACCCCGCCCACACCCACATGCACACATAGACATTTTCACAGGAATATATAGCAAACCCAGATTTGACGGCACTTTCAGGTTTTTAATGTCATTTAATAATTGTTGAGATTTTTAAAGCAGAAGACTCTCCCTTTCCCAATTACACATGATAGATATCACTAAGCTCCCGTTGTCTCTGGCTTTCTTCTCCCTGCCATCCTTCTCTTTTGGGCACTGAAGTGTGTTGCATCCTTTATACTAAGCAGTTTATACTCAATCTTCCTTCCTGCTCAGAGCAGAAGAGAAGAGGGAGGCATTGCAAGCACAGATGAAGCAGGCCCAGGCTTTAGGTCTGTCCCAATCTGGCCTGGCCTTTTTCCTGATTTTGTGGCTCCAATCAAAACCATCCTTGTGGCCAGACAGGAATGATCTAAAATGACAGAAACTGCAGGGAAGAAAATAATCAGCAGATTAATCGGGGGGAGCGTCCTAGGATGGCACCAGGGCAGGGGAGTAAGTCAAGAGGAACTTGTTTGGCAAAAGCAGCAATGCTTGGCTTGCGTCCAGGATCAGATTAGTCTCACCCTGAAATATGCAGTGCCCTGACCAAGGCCCCTGCCTCACACTGGGAGCAGGGCAATCTGAGTTCAGTGTCATCCATGCGTAAGGATATATTTATTTAGCAAACTTATACGGCTGCCCATCTTAACCAAGTAATTCGGGGTGGCTTACAGAACATGTTACTATAATAAAAGCTGTAAGGCAGCACCAGATTAAAAATCATTGAGGCTCCTCACGCAACCCATTAAGAAGCATGTCTTGTTTTAACATCCTGGCGTCACCGCCTGTGGAAAAAGCCAGGCCGATGGGGTCAGGTCAGAACCATCTGGATCTCAGGTGCTACAACACGGAAGGTATGTTTCCTAATAAATGACATTGTTTCACAGAGGGGACCCAGAGTATGCCAGCTCTGGCAGGACAGACAGAAGCTGTGGCTTCATGGATCTTCTTTGGGGATTGGGAAGCCTAGCCAATGAAATTCTAGCTTGGTTCCTATTCCAGGAGAAACACTGATGTTAGGTTTGCAGAGTCACCCCTGGGCAGAAAGTCCTGGCTTATTCCCCTGCCTGACTCCTGGGGTTTCCCCATTTCACCAGCTGGCAAGGGCCATTGTGCTTCACTGCTATCTCCCTGGCCTCATTTTTACCTTTCCCCCATGGGCCAGATGGGGCTCATGTCTACATTCCCCCACTGGTGAGTTGATTCATTGGCTGCAGGAGGGGAAGGGATATTGAGCACTGGTGCAAAATGCTGCTTATATATGTAGAGGACAAAGCCACTTGGGAGCAGTTTAGTTCTGAAAAGTGGGGAAGATCTCTTGCTCTTAAACCTCATAGGAAAAAACCCTAAAACATCTGTATCCACAGATGTCCACACATGAGCATCCTTTCCAGGTGTTACATTTGTGCTAAAAGGCTTTCCAGCAGTTTGGGGGGGGGGGACTGAAAAAATGCTTCAAACATATCCTTTAAAAGAGCAGGACCTTTCAAACACTGTTTATGCCTTATCTCATTCTTTAAAATATAGATCTGTATCATATTATGATGTGGCAATTTATCATTTGCAATCTTCAAAACAAATGAATAAATGAACAGTGTGTGTGACACTTCAGTTCCATAACTTTCAGAGGAATTAATGGCTCTGATGTGTAATTTCTAGGGAGATGCTGCCCCCTAGAGGTTAGTTATGCTTCTTCAGGTCTCATAAATACATGTACATATTCAATTGATTAAATGAAGCTCTACATCTGTATAGGGATGTACAGATATAAATATATTAGTGTCATGTTGTCTAATGGAATAAAGTAATATTGAACTTCATAGTAATAATATAATATAAACCTATATAGATAATATATGCTATATATAATACAAGCATACAGGCCTTTCTCACACTAACTTGCAAGTGAAAAATACTGTACCAGTAAACCTACTTTTCAGAAGTTTGCTCATGGCCAGTGATATTCTTGTTTCCTTTTATAATTACATCATGTAATAATAAACATAGTAATTATGCTTGTCATGGAGAAGAAAGCAATTAAATGTTTTTTTTTTAATTAAGCAAGGTTGAAAGCGGTACATGATCCTTGAGTTGACAAGAAAGCTTATAGTATAAGCAATAGTTTATTTAGAGAAAGTTATAAGAAGAAGAATGGAATAGTTGATCTGCTACCCAGGCCCAGAGGGTTTAGGCTCTTCCTGTGTCTTGACAAGCTTACATATCCTCCTCCAGTGTACAGCCAACACTTTTAGGCAAATGAATCTTCCTCATTCCATTGATGTATTTGGTAAGAGATCTTTATTTTTCCAGTGCTCTTGAAAAACTATATTGGAACCAGCAACCAATATATTTACGTATGGGATAAGCTTAATGCAGGGCTTTGCAAACTATGGGATATGTAATCCCCAACAGCAAATATAAGTGGGGTTACAAATTGGGGGGAGGGGGGGCAAAGTGGCAGAAAGTCAGAATTTTCTTCATCTGCTTCTGTAAAGAGCAAATACTAATCCAAAATAAATGTGGAACAAGGAATAAATAAAACCCAGGTTTCAGGAACTATGCCAGACTAAGCAAGCGCTTCCTTTCCGCTAAATAAATATGGTTTTAGATTCAATTACATCCAATAGAAAAGTGTTACTTTATGAAGTTGCAAGGTCCTATTTGATTTATAGATTAAAAGTTAATTATTTAAGGTGATTGACTTCTTGCCCAACACTAACTGCAGTAACATTATTAATTTTATTCCTGGGGTGGTCACACAAACTCATTTGTCATTTTAGAGCATAATGATACTCCATACATGTAAAATGAGAGCCAGTTTGATGTAGTCATTAAGGCACCAGGCTAGAAACTAGGAGACTTCTAATCCTGCCTTAGAAATGAAGCCAACTGGGTCACTTTGGGTCAGTCACTCTCTTTTAGCTCCTGGAAGAAGGCAAGGGCAAACCAAGAAAACTGCAGGGATTAGTCCAGGCAGTGAACACTGACTTGAAGGTGCACGCATGTGCCCGTGTGCACACACACGCATACATATGGAATAGGAAGATTCTGCTGAAATGCAGTGTTGGGCCAAGCAGGAACATTTTACAGATATTCCCATTCTACCTCCTGGCAGCAGAACTGAATATGCAATACATGATGCTCAGACCCTTTCCAATATGTATTTGGTTGTTATACTATTCAATTTCTTTCAGGATATACATGGAACACTGTTATTTACCTTCTTCCAGGTCTCAGTTTGCCCCCGCTCAAACTAGGCATGTCGATCTGTGCCTTGAAAGCTGATTCCGGTCCCTGCAAGGCTCTGCACCCCCGCTATTATTTTGACATTCAAACTCGCCGGTGTGAAAGCTTTAACTTTGGTGGATGCAAAGGCAATGAAAACAACTTTCTGACCCTAGAGGAATGTCAAGAAAAGTGTATCGTAAAAGGTCAGTATATTCCTTGCTTCAATTCTTTCTTTTTCAAAAGAAACACTTCTTTTTAAGTCTCACATGAGAGCCAGTTCTTAGGACAACTTATCAGGTAGTCATACTATGTACTATCTGAGTACCTCCAGAATTTTTACAAATATATTCATGATTGGGAGGGGGATATCTGTGATCAAGTGTAGAATCTTGATGAAGTGAGAAAGTTTTTACATTCTCCATTTAGTAAGTTGGTTGCATATATGCATGCAGGTATATAATATATGCATGTGGTTTAAAAAATTATGCTCCTTCATTAAAAAGGAAGAAAAGCCATTTATTTTATTATTATTTCTGTTGTTTTTGTTCTACTATGCACTGCCTTTCCAACTGAGCAGTGTCCTCCTAGGAAGAACACTTAACTTTTATACAATATACTTCTATATCCAGGGGTCTGCATGGGGAGGGATCAAAAAAATCATGATTGTGGCTGGGATATAGCCCTGCCCCTTTTTTACATGCATTGCACAATCACAGAAGCCATATTGACTTTTTTGACCCAAGCAAACATCCCCATCAATATCCACAAGAAGAGGTAAAAATGCAAGTAAACATTGACTGCACATTGAAATCAAAACATTTTCCTGCTTTTCCAAAAGGGGAGGAATGAAGGAAATTCAAGTGTCTGGGTGCTGTCAAAGCAAAAGTATTTCCTTCAAAAAGTAGATTCCAAAATAGTTACCGTTATTGTCAGTTTGTATCTTTGAGATTATTAAGTTTTGCAAAAGAGAAGTGCAAAACAGACAGGAATGATGTCATTATTTTAAAAGGAATTGTTACGATGTAAGGTAGATATACTTGAGCCTGCTCTATGTATTCAGAAATGGTGGCCAGGGATCTTTCAATCTTTCGTATTGGAGGCTGCATATCTGTTCTAGGGTAGTGTTAAGAAACCTAAGAATATAGGAAACAGCCTTGCACCAGGTTAGATCGTTGGTCCAACTGGCCCAATTCTTGTAGTTTCCCAAAGGGTCAGTTAGTTATTACAGCCACCCCTGGAGAGGCCACAAATTGAATCTGGTGTCATGTGCAGGTGGAGCATCGTTGTACCACTGAACTATGGTCCTTCTTGGAATTAAAAGCAAATCCAAGATAAATATAAAACTTTGAGACAGCGTTTTGAATGAGTAAGCTCCATATCTCAGTTTCACCAGGCAAAGTGAGCATTAAGTCATGTGCATCTATCAGCTTACCCCAGATTCCCATCAGATGTAGATTTGATGCCCTGTGCAATAAAGTTTCAGGTTTTAAACTTCAAATCAGTACCAACATTATACACATAAGTAGATCATAAACAGTGGTTATCCAGGTTTGGTAATATACACTAAAAGTCCAGGTGGGAAATATACTTTATAACCAAGAAATTAACTCAGCAGGGATTTAATTATTCCAGAGTCTCCAGCAGAGAAAAGAACTATCAAATTGTTGGCTGGTTAAGAAAATCCCAAGGTACAACTTTTAGTAAATCTTTCTGCCAGAAAAACCAATCTTACTTGCTCAGTCAAGGCTAGTGAAAGCAGCTCCACACTATAGTGGGCAAGTGTAATAAACATTGTGAATTTGTATACTGACCTTGAGAAGATAAACCAGCCAGGGCCCCAGGTGCATGTTTAATGGTGCATAAATGCCGTGTAAGGAAAAGCTGAGTTTTAATTCAGATGTAACAAAAATCAGATGGGGAAATAATCATTAAGATCCCAGCCTGCAGGGAAAAAAGTTTAAGTAATGCCCCTCAGCCTTAGTCTTCATGAAAATTCAAACTCCTCTCAGGATGAAAAGAAAGGCTACATCATACCCAGGAAAAACAAAACTGCATGGAGTCACTCTGAATTTGGAACCGAAAAAGATGTCATAGTAGAGTTTTCTAATGCATCTGAAAAGTGTCTCTGTGCACATTTATAAGATCTGCAAAAGAATTGTGCTTGTAAGATGTTCATATGTCCTACAACATGTGTAACTTGTAATCTCTCTCAAGTTAGTTTAGTTTAATTACCAGAACTTTGGGAATTATCTACTGCTTGTCTAGTTACTGAAATTACTTTAGATGCCTCATCTACAGCATTTCTTGTATCAGCCTTCATCATTTTCAACACAGTTTGTGGGACTATCTCCAATTATCTCTGCCTGCCCAACCAGACTGGACTGAGTTGGCATGTTCCAAGTCCCATCTATTAAAGAGTGTTATTTTATAGAACCCAGGAAGCCTTCTCTGTTGCTGTGTCTGTCCTGTGGAACACATTTCCCCCCCGCCAACACTGAGATTCAGATGGCCCTGATCCCCCTGGCCTTTAGAAAGGTCCTGAAGACCTGGTTTTTCCCTCTGGTACTGGACCAGGATCTTGCACGGGCCATTGATACGTGATTTGTGACTTATTGTCCCCGGCGTCTTTGCTGATTTTTATTCTGATTTTTTAATTCTTGGTACTAGTATATTAAAGTATATTAATGTATTCAGAGAAATGCATGCACCGTCCAACAGTGTCACTAATGGCTTAGCAGCTTCACTTTTGATATCTTTGAAAGAAAAGGGACCCTATATAGATCAGCAGTGACAAAGCAAATCTGCTTTTTTTTTTTTTTTTTGAGTAACCATTATGTGAAGATTTTGGGAAGCAAAGGAAGAAACGGAAAACCAACCTCCCCAACATGTTTCTCTCATAATCTATCTCTAAATCTTCAATTACAGATGTGCCAGAGAAGAGAAAGAGATCAAGACATAATAATGGTAACTTACTGTTCTGTATCATAGTATTTTGTTATCTCTTAGTATTATGAACTAATTTCCCAACAGGAATGTGGCTGGGTTAAGTTACTGTACAGACCTCATTCAAATGTTTCAATCCTGTATTAGCTTATAAGATTCTTGCAGTTATCATAGCAAACAATAACTAGCATAATTTTTCATGCTTCTCTCTTCAGTAAGAAGGAGAGGGACTTAAGAAGTAAGTACATTTTTGTTTACATCATTTAACTTTGATATTGATTTCAGTGGGCTTCATGTCAACAGTACAATGCAATACAATAATTGTTTAATTTACCATTTACAATGTACAGTATAATGTAAAATAATTGTATTACAATTAAATTTCTATTGTAAAAATGAATAATGAATGAAAAATGAAAAATGAAAATTGCCAAGATAAATTATTAGTATTCATATCACATCAATTCAATTATCCTTAGTTAATTTGGTTTTAAGTTGCTACCTTCTTTACCTAGCACATGAATATCTTAATTATAAAAGTACCATTAATTTGAAGCCCATTGAAATCAATCAAAGCACTATGAAAGCAGTGGCATGAGAATTAGAACCAGTATGTTGCAGGGCAGAAGTAGAGGAAAGATAAAGAGCTTCACAAAACTGCACCCTCTCACCATCACTTTATTGTTATCATAACTTGTTTCTTGACCTTGTTGGCAATGTCCACTGTGATCCCAGTTAGGTGCTTTTTAATTTTTTAAAAAGTTTTGGAAACATTGCATTAAAGCTGATTTCATTTCAGACACTGATTTCTGGAACCAAAGCTAAGAGAGGACAATACTATCCATTCTTTCTTTGGAGATATGAGTCAAAGGGAAGGGATCAAGCAGTATGAAGACATCTGAATGCCACTAACAATAAGTTTGGCTCATCCTTAAATGGACTAGTGTCTTCTCACATCACCAAAATGCCCCACAATTTCAAAGTCTGAGATTAAGATGAAGTGATGGAGAACATTTCAGCTCAACACTGTAATTAGAGTAACATGGGTGTAGTGCTTAAACTGTTGGATTAGAAGTGGGGAGACCCAGGTTCAGATCTACCGCCAGCTACGGTAGATCATTGGGTGACTTTGGACCAGTTATTCTCTCAGCCCAACCTGATTCACAGGATTGTTGTTAGAGTGAAAAATAGGACGAGGGAATGGTATGTATGTATGCCATCTTTTGCTCCTGAAGGAAAGGCAGGATATAAATTTAGTCAATAAGTAACAGAATAAGACGCCTGATCGTTGATTGATAAATTTGGCCCAGTTATCATTATGCTATCTTTTGGACCATGATTCTCAAAGTATTGTCCATTTTCCAGCTGTATTAAAAGTTATATCAGCTGTTCTTACTTACTCTGAGCAGTTTGTGGTGAGTTATTTTTGTAGCATACATTTGAAGACTCTGTAAATGTAGCTGAGTTTAAACTTGAAAACTGAGTATAAGGAAGAAAGAAAAACATACAAATCTCATGTTTTTGTGAGAGACATTTTCTGTCTTTGCTTACTTCTATGAAAAATTGGGGCCATCTGGACTCTGAAATTAAATATTAAATATTATGGCAACATCAAAGGTTTATCACTCTCTTGAGAGCTATTGCCTCACTGTGGCTAAAAATATCAGAATAAACCAGGCCTGTGAAACTCACCACATTCCATCTCAGTTACGTCTATCCAGGAAATTGAACCAACCATACTATTTGCAAACTTAAGCAGAGTATAGCAAGTCCTAGCCAGCTGCTATGGATTAATATGCTACAATCACATTATGTTTCACATTCTGGATATCTTTACCACCTATAAAACTAGAGTGTTGAACGATTTCCTAAATCTTTCCCACTGAGGTCAATGGGGCTGAGTAGCATTTAACTTGAGTTAGGACTAAATGATTTCCTTGTGCAGTTAAGAGGGATCAATAACAGTAACGGTGGAAAAAATGACATAATTTTCCTCTCTGAAACAATCCTAATTCACAGAAAAGCCTTCCTTCTGCCTTTTGGAAAATGACCCTGGTGTCTGCCGAGGATTAATTTCCAGGTATTTCTACAACAAAGAGTCACAGCAATGTGAAAAATTCCAATATGGTGGTTGCCTGGGAAACCAAAACAACTTTAAATCTTTGCAAGAATGCCAAGATACCTGCCATGACCGGGGTAAGTGGAGTTGTTTCTTGGTACTTAACTGTGTCTCTCCATGCCTGTTGGTGTAAGGCAGGAGGGGACAGACTCTGGCCTTCCAAATCTTTTTGGAAACACATGTCATCAGCTCTCATTGGCTGTATTACCTGCGGCTGATGGGACTTGGAATTTGTAGAATTCAAAGCGTGTGGGAATGGTAGGGTCTGCTCAGCTGCCACAGAAATTCAAGCAACAGTTCTGTGCCTCGCCCTCTGAACACACATTTGCAGTTTGCATGCATTTGTGGTTGCTGTCACATGCCTTCATAATTGGGGAGAAAAAGTAAAGGAGATGAGGAGTCATGAAGTCTTCACTGAAAGAACTGCATAAACAATGCATTAGCAAGGCAGTATGGTGCAGAACAGAAGGTGGGAATAAACTCCTGTTTCAGTTTAATGTAAACAAATGTAAATGAAGCAAAAATTGCATCTTTTAAGTTCAAGTGAAAAGAGGGTTTCAATAACTGCAACCTTGGTATATTAAACAAATGTTAGTCATTATTTTCTCTGTTCCTATATACCATTTTCAAAACCTATTTAATCAGACTTTCTTTTCTTTCAGTCTCCTCAACCAATTCACTGCAAACAGATGACGACCATCAAGTTTTTAGCACTATGAATAATAATAGTGCTCCACTTATTAAGCAAGGTATGTATTAATAGCTTATTCGTGAATAAGGATCAGGCTCACTCTACAATTCTCATCTGAATTTTTCCCTGCCATGTTTCTTGTTTGCCTGTCATGATCCTGAAGAGGGTTCAAGCAAAGCTTGGTGACTGATTCCTCCATCTTTTTCTTTCCTCTCTACCCCATCATCTGCACATCTGCCTTTAAAAAAACATGAATGAACTGCTCAAACACTTTGCAAATCTGGTTGATGTGCATGTACAATGTGTATTATGTGTGGTTGTCCCACAGCCAGTTTTTCCCTCAGTGAGGAAGCTGGAAGCAAGCTATGTTGTGACATTCAGGCTTTATGAGAACCAGACTATGCAATTTGGGAGCACTGTGGTTGAGCCTTGCTTCTTACTGACATCACTGAAATGATGATGGCTTCTTGTAGACATCTGCATGTTCAGCCTTATCAGAAAGTCCTGGCTTACCTGGAAGCTGAATGCACAAATGTCTGCAGAGAAAGATGACATCTCAGTGGTGTGGGTGGGGCTTCAGTGAAGATTCTCCTTCTCAAAATGCCTGAAGAGAGCTGGTCTCCTGCTTTTAATGTCAGAGTGACTCTTGAGATGAGTAGGTCTAACATCAGAAACACAATATTTAAAGACAGAAAGAAAGGGGGGGGGGAATCTGCTGTTCTCGTTCATACTAAAGGAAACCTCCTGCTATGAAGATAAGAAAAGCAATTCACTCCACCCTCAGCTAATGGAGATGATTTGGCTGAGAAGGTGGTACTTTCAGCTTTGCAGTAATTTGTTGTTGTTGTTATTTATTGATGCATCTTGGTGATGTAGGGAGAAAGAAAGGCAAGTTGCAGCAATGTGGGAATTTGATCCTCTTTTGGAATTACTCTGCTTAAAAAACTCTTCTAGCGTGTCTGGCTTGAAAATCAAGCATACTAAATTAAATGACTATTCTTATCATGAATACATCAAAAGGATTATGGTCATCCCCCAGTGACTGCCCACTCTTTTTAGAATCATTTGTAGTATTTACTCTTATACAATGCCCACTGGGTCTCCAGTTTAGAAAATGAGATTGTGATGAGACTCATACATGGCATGGATGGCCTATTAGAAAATTTGTTCTAGTGGCCTTACTCTGCACATCCACGGGGCAGCTACTACTCTGTGCATTCTGTTATTCTACTGAAAGATGGCAAAGTTCATAATGTCACTCCCTCTTTATTACTCTCATACATAATACTGAAATGCGAAGGAAGCGTAGCATATGAACATACGAAGCTTCCTTAACCAGTGCCAGGACATTGGGCCACATAGCACATACCATATTATTTATTCTGACTGGTAACAGCCAAAAACACTCACAGCCCTGCTAACTATTCCTCAGTAGAAATGGCAGAAGTGGCTGGGAATTTCTGCTTGACTGCGCTGCTGCACAACTCTAGTTTACCAAGGAGATCTCAAATTTCTAACATGTCATTGCAGCATGTGAATAGTCGCACGATACACACTAGCTCCTAGCATGTGGTCTGACTGATTATTCCAGTGTTGTCCAAACTTGGCCACTTTAAGATGAGTGGACTTCAACTCCCAGAATTCTGAAAGTTGAAGTCCACTCATTTTAAAGTGGCCAAGTTTGGACAACAATGGATTATTACTTCTGAATGTGCTGGATTCATATCTTATTGCTTTTTGTCTTAAGAATTCAATGGGACTTCTAGGCTCACATCAGGAGTATGCCCCTTGCGTTTAGATCAAAGAATCTCCCCCCAAACGTCACTGTGGAAAAATGGAGGAGTCTGGAGAAGCCAAAAACAAAAATATAGAATATAAAATCCTCATTAATAAATGAAATCATAGTTTTCATTTATGTTCTTGTTTTTAATTGTTTCCTAACTGTCCTGCATACCTCCCAGAGTCTGGAGACTGGGGTATATAAATAACAGAAAATAAATAATAAATAGTAATTCACATTTCTGAAGGAATTGTTAGAAGCAGAAATAAATCCCTTTTGTTTTTGTTGTTGTTATCTTTACTGATTTCTTACCTGAAAGCTAGCTTTGAAAGACATACTGACACTGTTTTTCCGCGGGTATACACCATGCTGGAGATTGAGGCTTTTCGTTTTTATGATCCACAGTTGTACGGCAGGGAGAAAGGAACAGCTGGAAAAAGACTGATCACGGTTGCTATATTTTTCTGCTGGCCATCTGCACTTGCATTCAGATGTGCTTCTGGGAACTGGCTGATAGTTTCTGGATTATGCATGCTGGCTAGAAATGTGGAATGCATGTAGGAGAAGTCCAGTGAGATCTCCTTAATGAACTTTGGGACTGCCTATGATGGGAAAGTGCTATGTGGTTTTCTGCATCCTGGCTTCATTCATCACGAAGCATAGAACTTGCTTGAGCTATAATCACCTAATTCAGTAACGGGAGGGAGGAAAGCAGCTCCTGATCACCCAAAATCCAAACAGGATGAAGGGTGGTACAGAAATGTTCTGAGTAAATAAATAAATAAAACATCAAAGCTGTTTAAGAGTAACTGACAGTACTTTTTTTTTTAGTCTTGTTTTGCCCTTATTGAGCAGTTAAACACACCTCATGTTTTTACATCTCTGTTAAACATTCTCCCTTGCTTAGGCAAGGATCTGCTGTTGAATTTGAAGGAATCCGTTCAAAAATTTAATCTACTCAGTCAAGGGTACATATCAGTGGGAAAACATGGTATCTGTAAAAAAATCTTGATGCTCCTATAGGGCCACAGTGAGGAAGAGTCAGATGCAATTACAATCTCCTGGCAAGATCACATTACACTAGTCAGATATATACATACACACAGAGACACACACACAGGTATCTTCCTCTGAATGCCTCACCTGACCAAGAAACTGGATACAGTGTCAACTTGCAAGGGCCAATGGAAACAATTTAATTTGCCCTTTTTTGCTTCCACACAGCAGTCCTCTTGGCAAGTGGCAAAAGCAAGAGATGAACTCAGATGTATATAGAAAAGAGCTAGATAAAATTTCACTCTAATGGTTGAGATTTGAAGACGCCCTAAGTTTATGAATTGTTTTTAAATGGCCTTAGCAAGGCCTGAAAGGTTGCTGGGATCTCTGAGCCCAGATAGTCTGCTGAACTACTATAGTTTCTGAATCAACTGACTCCTGCAGTCTCATTCCTTGACAAAACAGCCAGCCATCAAGTATTCTTTGGGGTAGGTAAATAATATCATTGATTCATCACTGCTGTGTTAATTGTTAATTGCATATTTTCATGGCATACTAGTGTTTCATAATGAGCTGTCATAACCCTTATACCAGGACTCTGAAATATAGACACACACATGCATGCGTGCACACACACACACATGTATATATGTATATGTATATGTGTGTATATATATATATATATATATATATATATATATAGAATGAGAGAGAGAGAAACATATTTGAAATTTTGAAAAAGTGTCCTGGATAGCAGAGGGTGCATCAGCCTCCATGGGGAGGAAGTCAAAAAAATGAAGATGGTGGTCACAACAGTGTGATTGAAACTTTACCCCTTTTTGTGTGTGCTGATGTCACACGCATATACAAAGAGTCAGGGC